ATTTTCAAAAAAAAAAAAAATTTATGATTAAATAAATCTTAGATCAAAAAAAAAGAAAAATCATGCATAAAGATTATTAACCTTGCCCGCAGATAATTTATCCAATAAACAAGCCATGTCTCCACTATCTGAAAATTGGTCAAATACTGTTGCCATAGTCAACTTTTTATGACAAGTTATGGCCTGCGAAAACATACGATCAGGTAAACTTCCTGATATAACTGAAATAAACCTAAATAAATAATATTATTATTTATCTGTATTTTTCAGTAAATCAAGTAATAAGCAATACTTTACCTGTCGGAAAATTGGTAGCCCCGACCAGGAACTCTTCGGTCAGATCCGCCCTTCACTTTAACTATAGCTCCCGTATCTTTTAATTTTTCAATAGCATTTTTCACAGTTGCATCAGGATAGAAATTAAGAATTGAAAATGCATGTGAAGGATCATATTTATCATCTGGAGTCATGAGAATCATCTGCAAGAAATTTTGTTGAATAAATAAAAAATAAAATGCCAATTATCAAAAAATACATTTAAAGCAAATTTTTACCTTTACCAATGCTTGGATGCATTGAATATGAATGTCATTTTCATTTATATCCAAATTTTCATAATAATCTACACTTCCATTGTAAAAAATTCGGCATGTCACAGGATGAGAATAGAGCATCGAAAATTTCTGCCGTAAGGAAGCACCAACAAGTCTATCTTCATAAAATAGATTTTGCTGACGCATTGACGACACGTAGCTTTCGATAAAAACGTGTTCGAATGTTTGAATATCACAAGGAATAGGAATTATCGGATTAGGACTCTCTTTACTAAATGTACATACACAAAATATTATTATTTATAATTCTTTTAAATATTATTTCACCTTTTTTCAATCTTTTTTGCTCTTTGCTGAATTCTCTTTAGTCTTTTTTTTTTTTCTTCTCTAAACAAAACTCTTCTTGTTTTTACTGAGTAGCTTGTGCTCTCATTTTTTTTAACTGTATTGTCCAGTCTTGTTCTTTGTCTTTTCTGCTTTATTATAATACCTTCTTGTCTTTTCTATAGATTTATCTTGTAGTATCTTTTTTTCTATATAAAGTTATAACAACCATTTTTAAAAATATAGAAAATGTTTTTCAAGCACTCATCTACTATCTTTTTCAATTTCACTATATCTTCTAAATTCTTGTATATTTCTTCTTTATATAGCTCTTTTACTAGACTTTCTCTGGCTTATGTCTTTTCTTCTTTGCTATATTCAATTAAAATCTTTCTAAAACTGTCTAAACTTAAATCACTTTTTGCCTCTGTAGGCAGTTTGTTCCAAACTATCTTTGTTGCCACTATTTCTATATTTTGCTAGCTAGGTTTATATGCTTTATATACCTATATGTAATCTAGTATTTCTTCTACTTCACTACTATACACTTTGTAGTTGGTTTTAGTATAAATCTCTAGTTTTCTTTGCTGTAGTTTTCACAAAACTAGCAGCTTGCCTATAATTAATTTAAACCAGAAACTTAGTTTTTTATTTTTTTTGAAAGACTTGTATTTAAGCCTGTGAAGTTACTTAAATAAGACCAGAAGAGGCTCTATCTAAATTTTTTTCTATTCCTTTTTGTTGCTATCAACTTGCTTAAATGTAACAAACTTAGTCTTGCTGCTGTCTTTGCTTGAAATAGTTTCTTAAAAAAATTTTTTAGACTTAATTCAATCTGATTTCCTTTCTATTGCCACTAGAATTTTATTCAATTGTTATTGGTTGATGCTATATCTATAATCTGGCTATGCTTTACATCTTTCTTTGTTAAAATATTTGTCTTGTTATTTCAATATTCTCTACTATGACTCTTTACTTTTTCTAATACTAAATCTATACATTTAATTTTAACTATCTATTTTAATATTAATATTCTTTGACTTTGACTATTTCTTCTTTTCTTTTAGCCCTGGCTACCTTGTCAAACCTGCTATTGCCACTATACTATCAGTTCAAATTATTATTTTTTACATATATAAGACTATTAAGAGTACAAAGAGAATTGTTAAAAGCTCCAGCTTTATTGATAAGAACTATTTCTTTATTTTATAATATCCTTTAAAAATTATCTTGAATATATCTTCTCGAATTCACAATCAGCTAGCCCCTATTGCTACTGCTATTTTATTTGTCTTTAACAAGCCATCTGTATAAAAGAGTAATGTCTTTTTTGGTTACTTCTTATTTAGACAAACATGTTCTCTAAGCACTTCTTGTAGCTTTAGATTAGTTATATATCTTTTGATTAATTCTGTTTTTAATAACTCTTCAATTGCAACTATTAATACTATTCTCTTATCTTTATTTCTTTTTTTTTTTTGGTTGTTATTATATTCTGAAAAAGTATTATCAACAAAGAATAACTTCTTTTTTCTTTTTTTATACTTGGCTTGGGTAGACTTGTTATTATTTTGTTTTTGCTACTCCATATATCTTTATCATTTTCTTCTAGTGTTTTTTTTATAATCGAGCCAAATTTGTATTCATCTTTCTTTTCATTTTTACTATTTTAGATTTCAAATTTCTCTAACATGACTCTTGTATTCTCTTTTTTTTGCACTCTATTTATCTTTCTTCTCTTGTTCTCTGTTTTATACAGCACCCACTCTTTGACCTTTTTGTTTTCAAAGATTGCTTGTTCTGAATAGATGATTATTTTTTCATTCTGATTATTTTCAATATACTTAGCTTTTACTTGTCTTAACTAATAGTTTTGTAACAAAGAGCTCTCTATTTTTTTAAACCACTTTGCCTTTTTACCCCAACTAGACTTTCCTCTTATAAATTTAATTTGTTGCTATTTTAGTAGTCTATTCCTAGTATAGTTAATAATTTGTAAAGTATAAAATATTATTAGCTTTTGCAATTCTCTCATAAGTTCACTTATGTTTTTTTTTAATAGTAGCTTGTTTAAAAGAATAACTATATTTTTTATGTTTTACAAGGACTTCAAGTTACATATTGTCAATTCTATTCTTTTTGCTCTTAATAATACTATATATGCTAAATTATTTTTTCACAATTTGTTTAGCTATTTGTTATCTTTTATTTGCCACTCTGAACCAATTAAACCTGTATTTAAAAAAATCTTTTTTAACTTGGATTTGTATTACTAACCCTTTAACTTGTGTACTGTTTAGTCTATTTTGTAAAGTGGTTAATTGCTTGGTTGTAATTTCTTGTTTTAGTAATTTGCAATCTTCCAAATCTTTATACAGGATTATATTATTTTCAGTTGTCTGAGTTAGTTCTATTTTACTTTTTACTAGTTTTACAAATAGTTGATGAATCTTCTCAATTGACTGTGTACTAAGCTTACTAACTTGCAAGATATAACTAAGTTTTGGGATTAATATTATATTGTTTATATATACTAGTTGGCTTATTATTAGCTTTTTTTACTATAATATTAAAGTTATTTGCCTAACAATTTTCTTGGCTTTGTCTCTTACTAGTAATTTACTTAACTTTCTACTTAACCAAATACTAAGCATTCTCACTACAGAGCTATTTTTTGTAGCTTAATTTCATCTTGATTAAATTGCACTTTCTTGGCCTCTTGGTTTTTGGCCTTGTAGTTTATTACTACCAAATTATATTTCTTGCTGTTTATCTGTATATTATTAATTATATAGAATTTATTTGAAACTCTAAGCAATTTTTTCATCTCTGTTTTGCTATTTGCTAGCTATATTGTATTGTTTGTATAGGCTATTGCTGCTTGCTTTATACAGACTTTTGTCTCTAACTCTATTGCTATATCTTCTAGAATATGTATTTTAACTTTGTAACCAAAAGACTTGTCATTCTATATTCTACATAGAAGCAGATCATAGAAAATCTGCCAAATAATTGAAAATATTACTTCATCTTGATTAATACTGTTACTCATCTCAAATGATAATGTATAGCTATTTTGTACTATTACTTTTATTTGTTTTTTACTAAAGAGTCTATATATTAATTTAATACTTGTAGAGAGAAGCTTGATTTTTTTGAATGCTAATATTAATATTTCTACTGATACAGAGTTATATACTTTCCATATATCTTGAAATACTATTTACAGCTCTTTTCTTTTTTCTTTTGTATCTTCTATAACTATATTAATAATTTGTACTAGTTCTTCTGTTAAGTAGTCTAGAAGCTTTATATAGTTTGGCTTTTTTAAAATATTATACTCTGCCAGGATTCCTGTTAGATAATTGTTAAAAATTTTTGTTACATACTTTTTAAAGGTTTCTAAAATTGCAATTGGTTTTCTATTGTCTAGCTAAAAATCCCAATTCAGACCTTTTGGAATTAGGTAGATTTGTATAAGCTTTCACTTAATTAGAATTACTCTTTTGCATATACACTTTTCTGCAAATTTTCTAAAGATATTTTGTAATGCTGCTCCAGCTTTTTTAATTAGTATATAACTTATTTTTAATATACCAGGAGCTATCTTTGTTTTTAATTTTGTAAGTATCTCTTACTATTCTTCTTCTTTAATTAGGTTATTTAAATACTTGAACTATTCTTTATTGATTTTGCTCATTGGCTTGTAAACATCATCCCACTTATTTGTTATTTTGTCAAATTATACTTGATATTTTTCAAACTAATTTTAAAAGTGTTTTTTTGTTGCCTCCTTTATACTATCTGGGTTGTTAACAAGTATAAAACTATTGTTCTTTTTTTTTAAACCCCAATCTATTTGTATTTTCTTAAAAGGCCTTTCTAGCAAGCTTGCTAATATTTTTTCTTGCTTTCTTGTTATTCTTTTGCATTATTTGTTAATATACTCTTTAATTGCTTCTCTCTTGACTTTCTCTTTTTCTTGTATCTATTTTACTCTTAATAGTTTTTACTACTCTATTAGATCTTTGTGCCAAGTTTTATCTATATAAGACATTGTTTGTGAGATTTTGATTTCATTTTTTTTTTTTTTTTTTGGTATTAAGGTGACCTCTACGGCCGGGGACTTTTTATTAACTTATTAACTTCGGGTTATAGTTACAACGAGGGTACATCAAGCCACACGTGTACTTTTGGTACCTAATTTAAGTGGTCCGCCTGGGTTCTACACTA